CTGAAATGACCCCGGCTGGTCAAAGTGTTCTGATACGGTGACATCCAGTCCTGAGTTGAACAAGTGATAATGGCGTCTGGACAAACATTTACGTCAACTGCTTACAGGAATCGTTGGTCGGATTTGTTTTATATTGTGACGAGGAACCTTGTCGAAGACTATTAGACCGGAGGCCTTCTCAATTGTATCTGTTGGGACTTGAAACATGTGCAGTGGCGTCTTGTCGTTGATTGGTTGATTCGGCAATATGTAAGACTGTAACGAGAGATAAAACATGTGAGTGATTGTCACGTGATGTGTCTTTTTTAAAGACATGATTGTTGATAGAGATTTTTAGCTTCACCAGAAACTCATAAGGGGTTGTTTAAACCCTTATGAGTGGGCCCAAAAGGGGTAACAGATGAATTTCATGGCTTTAAAAAGTCGAGAAAACATTCTATTTTTATGATTGATTCCTGTTTAAAAGACAGTGTATTTACAGCAGTTAAAAGGGATGCAAAGTCGCAAACAAGGTATGCGAAAGGGGTACCATTTGTCAATAGAAGGTATACGAAAGGAATACCTTTTTCGTGGAAAATGGTGTTTAAAAGGGTAAGGGGTTGAACCTCGGGGCGGAGCCTCGCCGTGTAAACATTTGTTGAGTACCCGCCCCCCGGGCTTACAAGGGCTGATCGCACATATAGGTTCATCTGTACATATGAATTCTGGAAGTTGCGGTTTAACAAGAGAATAACCCACCTGCATTTCCAATTGGTTGTCGTTTGTCTCTCCCAAGATGATTTTAAAGAAGTGCGTGGGAACGGCTATACGGTTGATACCAATCAGCTACATATCGTAAAAAAACCCCGGAAAATTAGAAACTGCAGAAGTTATGAGCAGAACGCTAGTTAAGTGGTGTATACACGAGAAAACTCACTCCGGCGCGCGTTTCATACAGGGGCGACTTCTTGATTTCGTATCGCGTTTACATGTTTGCATGTTCAGTTTTCGTCGTCCCATGGCCCATGACCAATATGACGACACCACCCTGAAACGGCGAAAACTAACTACGCATGCGCTACCCGTTGTAGTCCACTGGCAGACCGATTTCAAACCGAACGCGTTTACATGATACCCATGATACTCTGCATGATACCGTTACGAAATTTCGTACCGGAGTGAAATTCTCTTCGTACAACAACCGGGGTGAATTCATGCCAGTGTTACTTGCGCCCGCACGACATTTCGTCTCGGTATGATGTAAACAAAAACAGAACCATGACAGGGAACCGGAGGGAGCTCGTACTGGCGTGAAAGCCAAAACATCGTCAAATGGGAACGGAAAGTGCGAAACGGAATGAACGCGACCGCCATTAGTCAAGCTGGTTTTCTTCTTACTGACGCTAAGAAGTGACTTATCACGTCTCACCTTATATTTCACGTACAACTGGTTGTCTGCTTCCAGTCTAAAAAAGATTGATATGAAACATTGTATTTTCAATGAAGCACTGATAAGAAATTTCTTACTACAAAGAGGAGCTTCTACCATGTTTAAAAGACAAGTTGGCGTTAATTGGCGTGTCTAAAAATCTTTCTAAAAAACGCCTTTTAACTAATTGAACGGCTCAAATAAATATTTCTTTAACAACAATACTTTGGATAAGGATCTTTTTTTTCCTTTAAATGAAAATCTTAGCTAACAAATCGACCTTATCTGTAAAGACAGAAATCGATTAAGAATCTATCTTTCACTCTTCCCTGTCGACATCAATACACTGACAGCATAAACAAAAACTACAAACATAGCCTACGTACCAGGCCCACGCAGCCTGTTTTCCTGAGGGGAGGGGGTAGGGGGGGAGGGGGGGTCTGTACACGGGCTAGGTCTGCCCAGCTGGCGGTTTTGTTTGTTGAGCGCGCAAATGAGCTGCAAAGCCACGAGAAGATCGGGGCGGAAACAACGAGAAACCTTCACTGCCCGTTCGTGCGACCTTTGCGCGCGTTTTCAGAGCTTTTTCTCTCTCTCACCCAACAAACCACAAGCTACGTAGACTACTACAAACATGTATTTGCAAGCTTAAAAGCCCCAGACTTACTTTGGCAAGAAAAGAGGTCCAGTTATAACATACACATTCTTGTAAAACCTTGTCAAATGCCGTGAATATTTTTCAAGATGTTCCCAAGCATCTCGGTTAAATCCTGAGCCTGCCTTAAAGAATGGAAAGAAGACTTTCACTAGTGAAATGTTGTCTTAAGACGTACTATACATTTTAAACAGTAGCCTGGGGGAGTCGCAAGAAGTCACGCGAGAGCCACACGCAAATGGGGACGCGAGTGAGAGGGGCCCTCGCACGCCATAATTTGCGAGCTTGCTCGCGAGCCATTTAAACAGTTGACATGTTTGCTCACCAACTTGTGGACTCATATTGCTAAGAAAGAATGTGGCACACATGGAATCCTGGGAAGACCGGTGATTGGCTGCGGCAGCTAGATGACCTCTGTCATATCCACTCATCCTTTGAATTGACAAAAAAGTTACATATAGTAATTATTCATATATTTTGAATTAATCATAAAATACTCTTCTTGCCATTAGGATCAGTTTCCTTTTGTTATAATTTGGTCCCAAAATATTGTCAAAATTCCTTTTTCATAGGGGTGTGTGTGCATTGGGGGAGGGAGGGGGGGAATGAGGAGAGGTTAGTAAGGTTGGTAACTTTAACTTGATAACATCCCACTTCATTTTTCTTTTTTCATGTTGCTGGCAGTAATACCTACACTAGCCTTCGTCACAAACACTCTAAACCTTCTGTATACAAAGTCTAAATGATGCATGGGCCAGCCACAATGCAAGCTAACCTAGATCTTGCTCTTGCTGATTCATACTGTGATTACCTATGATCACTTCTCTTTGATAAAAGCAGGTAAGTAGCCTTCAGGTAAGCTCTCAGGGGGAGAGGGAGACTCTGGCGGTAGGGGTGGGGATGGGAGAGTCCCTCGGAGAGCTTGCTGGCAGGATAACAGTTCAGTGAAATGAGTTATATATTTTCTTTACTCTCCATTCTTAGTGTCAAGGAAACAAACAAGGTTGTTTTAACTTATGAGTCAGCTGAAAAATCCTCATCTCTATTTATTCCATTGTGCTGCACAAGCAACCTTGTTTCCATGGTTCCCTTCTGTTGGTCTCCCAGAGCTCCAGGGGACAAACAGGAAAGGAGACGAGGAACAAGATTGCTACACAAGGTGGCTTTGTCTGGAGTCTGTGGATAACATCCTGTGATTTATTTGACATTTAAGTCCTTTTGCGGACAAATAAATACGATTATGGCTTGCTAAATGAAAGGTGTTTGATTGTGAAACGCACACCTGTAGTCTTCATTAGAAGTTGAAAACAATGGATGGATAGTTGGATCCTGTGCAAAATCACACTTTCCTCTGTCCAAATCTCTGTTGTACACATTCCTGGCTGTTAAATGCTACAAACAAGATGTGTTGAGAACTTTTGTAAGTTAAGATGGCAACACCGGTTTCCTAAGAGTATAAGAAATTTCCTCAGTATGGCTGTCACTAAGGGTCAGGGGTCAGGGATACTATCAGCATGACCCCTGGCTACTTTCAAAGGAAACAAACAGAAAATAACTAGAAGAACTTCTTAGCTCTTCAACTTCCACCTAATAATTATTGCATACACCTGAAAACTTAAAATCCTACTGACAGCCCTGCTCATCAGTCATCTGAGATTTCCCTACCAAGTCTACACTATTTTGCCCCTGCACAAAACAAAAAGTAATACATCGAGTAGCCGTAAGATGTGTAAATAAAATGCAAAAACATTACCTCAGCAACCCAGTTAGCCAGTCTCAGGCGTCGATTGTAAGAAAGAACATAATCATTCTTGGCCTTTATATTCTCGAAACCTGTTCCAAACAATATTTGCAGAATGGTGTTAGCCAGATTTTATATATATTTTTCAGTACATGCAACCTGTGACAAAATCAATGAACCAGATTGTATCGATTATACAACAACAAGAAATTTATAAGAACCTACTAGGGTACCCAAAACGCATTATTTCTGATTGTCTGCTCTGACCAAGTCCACCATCTACTGAATCGCGCTTGGCATGTACCACTGGAAGGAAATCTTGCTGTTGCCTCTTTCTAAGAAATAAAATATTATCTATTCTTGACAAACCAATTGATTTTCTAAGGTTCTGACAATCAGTATGAGCAGTATGACAGTTTGATATAGCTGGGATTTGTTTAAGAGGAGCAATTTGTTCAATGTACGATCGCATTGATGTGCGAGACTGAGCATTTGGGAAACCGTCAACGATCAACGATCTCCGCAAGCAATGGAGGATTTGGAAGCCCTTTGCAAGAAATTATCTTTCTTGTCTACAAAAAATCAGCTCAAATGGAATGGTTCTAAGAACGACCTACTAAGGTTTCTGGCCTTGCATTTGGAAGTTCAGCCTAATCAATTTCGCGCTAGCGACAACGGAACTTGTGCTGTTTTCAAGATTCAAAACATCACTTGTAACTTCTACCACAAAGCGAAAACTCTACAAATTCAAGGAAAAGAAGATGCAGACAACCTGAGAAAAGATTTAATTAATCTAACTTCAGCTTGGGCACACCCGGTTAGCGAAACGTTGAACGCATTCCAAGAGAATCTAGACAACGATGTTCAAGCGAGAGAGNGAAATAAAATACAATGAACAATGAAATGTTCAATGATTTATTGATTATAAGACCGTCAACGATCAACGATCTCCGCAAGCAATGGAGGATTTGGAAGCCCTTTGCAAGAAATTATCCTTCTTGTCTACAAAAAATCAGCTCAAATGGAATGGTTCTAAGAACGACCTACTCAGGTTTCTGGCCTTGCATTTGGAAGTTCAGCCTAATCAATTTCGCGCTAGCGACAACGGAACTTGTGCTGTTTTCAAGATTCAAAACATCACTTGTAACTTCTACCACAAAGCGAAAACTCTACAAATTCAAGGAAAAGAAGATGCAGACAACCTGAGAAAAGATTTAATTAATCTAACTTCAGCTTGGGCACACCCAGTTAGCGAAACGTTGAACGCATTCCAAGAGAATCTAGACAACGATGTTCAAGCGAGAGAGTTGATAGCCACGGGGCTTGTTTCGCCTAGTGATGGCCCAATTACAATTAATGCTGACAACAGCCTTGGAGGGGATTTTGCTAAACCTCCTGTTTCACCCAATGAAGACGACCTAGCCAAAGCTGAGAATTTTATTGATAACACATACGTGGAAGTCATTTTGGATGCTAACAATTCTCAATATTCAAATCTGGTCAAAGATATCGAAGCTGATTACGACAGTCAATTAACTCAATTGTCGCTGTTGTTAAAAGAAGTGTCTAACGAACTAATTGATCTGAAAGCTTCTCATGCAGCTTTACTAGCGACAAACAATGAAATAACAAATGAATTGACCGCGCTACGAAATGACGTAACCTCTCACCTCCAGACCCAATCACAAAGGTTAACGGAGACAAACGATCTGAGAGATTCTCATGCTGCATTACTCATTCACTCTCATTTTCTTATCGGGGTGCAATGGCTTGGAACCAACTGTCAAATGAAACACGTGAGATGGGGGATCTTACTAGCTTTAAACTCGCCTTATCTTAGGATGTAACTTTTATCATGCTTTTATCTTATTTCTAATACTCATTTCTTGCTGTTATATTATATTGTTAGTTAATCACTAGTCTTAATTTTTATAAATTGTAATTATCACACGGCATGTCTGAAAACCAGCTTGCTGAGCCATTTACTGTGTTTAAATAAAGTTGATTGATTGATTGATTGATTGATTGAGTGGGTGGGAGGGGGGGGGGCAGATCGTGTCACAACCAGGGCACTTAGATTGTACCAAACTGTTGTGTCAACATGCAAAATGGCTGCAATGATGAGTGCTACGTGACAATTTTTACCCCAAACAAGAATAGGGGCCTGGGTTGGAATGATGATGGAGGGTAGGGGAAGCGCAAAGGAGAGAATCCACAGATCAAGCATTATCTCCTAGCCTCCCTGCAGACGTCCTCTGGGGTTCGTTCGTCACGCATTCATTCTCCCCCACGGACGTTCAGGAAAACAGCGACTCTTTCGATCTCCCTGTCTGCAAATTTAAAACCCCGCAAAAGACGCTTGTTAAAAAATATGGGACACGAAAGAATAACCATAGTATAAGTTCAAATCGGCAATCAGGAAATCAAGTTTGACGGATGTACTATGTAAGAACATTTCTTTTCGCTTTCAAACCTTTCCAAGAGCACTCCAAGAATTCCACCAGTCGCAAAAGCTGCAACTGAAACCACGGGAAGAAGACGCCGACTCATCAATGCAATCAAGAGTCCTTGGAATACAAAGCTTCCCCTTAATAAATCGCGATTATAAAAGGTAGACGCACAACGGCAAACAGGAAATTGTGAGATGTTACATAAAAGTAATCATATATGATGTACCTTCAAGGAAACGAGGAGATCTGGGGATAAAATGCAAAATGGCGGACGACGAAGTCCTGCAGTTAACGCTTGTTCACGGTTAGAAAACTCTTTTAAATGATGGAATTGTTCATAACATTTCTAATAGAGGTTATATTGTGGCTAAATCTTATGGATGGGTCCTAGGTTCCAGGAAATATCCCGTTGAACTACTCATAAAAGAGGATGGTGGGCCGACTGTGGAAGATCTTGCAAATATTGCTGCACAGGCGGCAGAGGTTCCTCGCGGATCTCAACGGCTCATATTTAAAGGTAGTTTGTTTTTGGAAAGATGTACGTATAACCGCATACATTTATTATGCATACGTCTTTCGACTCTATTCCTATTAACATACCTGCCAACCTCTGGAGATCTAAAATCTGGAGACTCTCTATTTTGCACTACATCCCCTCCCCACCCCCGAATGTCAACAGCACCAACACCCCCCCCCCCCCCCCCCCACCAACACCCCCTGTCATTTAAATAACGACTT